AAATAAAACAAAATCCTTTAATATTTATTCCACTTATTCCTTTTGCACTTATATATTTTACTTTACGAAAAACTTGGAAGTTATTTAAATTATTTGTATTTTATTCATTGGAGATATTTTATTTATTCTAAAATTTTGGGAATATTGGATGCCGATTCTAAAAAAGTTAATTATTTGGAGTTGGAAATTTAGTATTTGGATTATTATTTGGAATTGGAAAATTAGTACTTGGATTATTACTCGAATTTTTATCTGGGTTACAACAATTTCACGTAAAGATATTAGGGATTTCTTGATCACTTCATATAATATTTTTAGATTCTTTATTCTAAGTATGATTAAAGTGGTTAAGATTATTCTTGGAAAACGTTCCCGTAAATTACTACTTCGTTTGTGATACGACCTTTTATAAACAGTCGTTTAAATAAAATAAAAAAACAATATCTAAAGACAAAACGAATTCTTATGAGAGCAAGTTATGAAATAGTCGTCGAAATCACGATAATTTCTTGTTTCGAAATCATGAAATCATTGGTTTGGACGTATCATTCAATAATTGGATTAGGATTAATGATTTTAATGATATTCAGTGTTACATATTCACGTTATCCAGCTGAATTACCAATATCTTATCATCCCGAACTACCAATATATCATCCCGGACAAAAATTAATTACTAAATTACCAATATCTTATCATCCCGAACAAAAATTAATTAATGGATTACAAATATCACAAAAATTATTTACTGCTGATATATGGACAATTCATCTTGCTTTAGATAATGATATGTGGACAAGAATGAGAGATTTAATTAAAGATTTAGAAATTGATGTAATTGGTAAGTTATTTTATATCATATTATTTTATATTTTATTATTTATATTTATTATCTTATATAATATCATTGAAATCTTATCATTATTAGGTCTCTTGAAATCAGATATTGGTCGTATTATAATGGGAAATCGAGATTTTACTCAATTTTTAGCAGGAGATCTAAAGATGTATTCTGATTATGGACCAAGAACTTCAAAACATGCAATGCTTTCCAAATTTCCCATCATTAATTCAGCTCATCATCTGCTTCCATCTCCCGTTGGTGAACTTTCATGTGCAAATCATGCCGCTCTGGATGCTTATGGAAAAGAAGTGGATGCCATAGTTAGTCACAATGGTCAAGGAGAAGATGTGGAAGATCGTAGATTACATACAACCGGATTGGCCAAAATCATGAAATCAAATAATAATCCTATAATCTTCTTAGGGGTAACAAAACCACAAGAAGGAAATTATTTTACATTAATGGATGATGGGAATGTTAATGATATATATAATACTGATAATGATAGATCGTATGAACATATTGCTTATAGAGGAATTAAAAAGTTTGGTTATGCTCGAGTTATTCATGGTGAAATAACTGACACTGAATTACAAGTTGGAAAATTCTAAGTTTTAAATAATAATAATGCTATTTCTGTTGATTTATAAAAAAAAACAATTCTTTTTTATTCATGTCTCAAGAAAAGAAGAAATAGTATATTCCAGATTATCTTTAAGAATTTGAATAAATTAAAAATCTAAATACTATGTAATTCATTTTTTGTATTATAATAATAATTCGTAGTGTATTGACGCAATGTGACTGAAAATAAATAAATGTTTTAGAATTTATTTTACATTACAAATTGGTAAAGAATCTTATATGATTAAAATGAGTATATACAATCTTTTTTAAGAGATTGACCAATTTTGGTCCCCAAGATTCCTCCTGTAATATCAACAAGTGCATTGTCTAATTCTTTCCAAGTCCCATCATGTAAAAGTTTCTGTGGTGGGTCAATAAAGGTGCCAACATATTCATCACACTTATTTTGCACTACTGGAGGGAGAAAACAGGGAACCATTATATGTGCAGGTCTTATAAATGAATGGTGTTGTACTATATAAATTGACAGACATAATGGAATGTTAATTTAGGTTGAATTATGAAATCACTAATAAAGCTAAAGCAACAAAAACTATAACTTCACTATAACGCATACGAAAAAATAAATTTTTTTTTCACATGCATCATGGAAATGATTTTTTGACATACACCCTGAACCGGGAGAAGGATAAGGACTCTCAAAGAATAATGTTTCAAAAAAATAAAAATGATAATTTGCATATGATTCCAGTAATTACTCCATGATACATGTGAAAAAAAATCTGTTCTTTCACTTAATTGTTATGAGTTGTGTCGACAAAATAAATACCGAAATAATCCACAGATACCCAGACGAACAGCATAATTTTTACAGCTTCAATTCAGTACCCGATGACACTACAAACCTTTACCCGATAGAATATCTCAACTCACTGACGCCACAAGGTCTTCCACCATACCATCTAATTTTAAAAATTGATTCACCGATGATATTACTTCGGCTTATGTAATGGAACTAGACTAATATGCCACCATCTTGGAGATCGAATAATTGACGCAGAAATTGTGACAGGTGATTACCAACAAAAACGAGTATTTATTCCTAGAATCACACTCTTTTCCTCAGAAGGATCAGGATTACCCTTTGTACTAAAAAGAAAACAATTTCCAATACGCCTCGCGTTCGTCCTAACCATTAATAAATCACAGGGTCAAACGTTACCTCATGTTGGTATTTATTTGCCAAGGCCAGTATTTTCCCACGGACAGCTATATGTTGTAATATCAAGAGTAAAAAAAAACAATATTGTAAAATTTGGGTCAAAAACAGACAAATACAAAGATTCAATGACACTTATACCAAAAATATAGTATATAAAGAAGCTTTAATATGAAAAAAAATATATATCGAAATTAAACAAACTACAAAAAATTGACACATCATTCAATACAAACTATCAATATATCAAAAGAAAATAAATATTGTTATAAAACAAATATAATAACCCCGATAAATCATGTATCTAATTACAAATTTTACTAACTAATAAAATAAATTTAAACATTTAACAATAAAAAAAAAGATACAAAAATATAATATAAGTTCTATACTATAAAACAATAAATTTACTTCTTTTCGTTGTCAATAACACCGGCAGCTGAATTATGTAAACTTGAAGAACTATGCAAAGATCGACTAACAGGCTCTTTTTCTTTCTTATTGCGCGCGAAACCCCCACACTTTTTTTTATTTCTTACTAACTCTTCAGCTTCATCACTATGAACGGTACTCATACTATTAACCTCATCCAAATGTAAATCATTACATCAAGAGCGTTTATAGGATCATCAGCACATTCAGTTCGTGAACGTTTCAACTGCGAAATATTATTTGACGATAAATCAGGTTGCTGCTCAATTATAAAACTATTAGAACCCACTAAAGACGAAACCTCAGCTTTAGAAATCTCTTTCAAATTTTTGGCGATATTCCGGTGAGTAAGAAGAAGTTTAGATCTAACCGTATTATTAAACTCGGGAGAACTGCCAACGTCAGTAGCTTTTTGTTTGGAAGAAGAAAAGGAACCATCAACATAGTTAATGTCCTTCGAATATATATAGAACTCATTATCAATCACTTCGATTTGTCCAACAACGAATACAAAAGAATTTTGTCATCAATTTTGCAAATCGTGAGTTGGAATGTGGAAACGCAATTTTAACAATAAAACTGTAATCCTGGCCAGCATAATCATCAATCAACATATTGACAACGGCATTTTCATCGTCCCCCACGATACGTGGCGACTCCTGCGGAACTCCCAACAAAGAAACCTTCAGTGGACATTTATTTGAACCGGTAGCCTTAAGAAGAACTACCCGAGTAGAAATCGCAACAGTCATCTAGAAAGATAAGTACATGTATAATTATAAAAAACAATTACAAATACATCAACACCACAATCTAAAATTCACATATTTTATCGGACAGAACCTTAGACCGCTTGATCCCCTCGTAATATCCGGGCACGATCTTACCGCCGACAGAATAAAAATTGTTTTGTTCAAAAATCGCCTGTGTCTTGGAATCTCTCTTTTGAGATGCAAGAGGCACAAACAATACCATTTCAATTTCGTTATTCTCACGCTCAAAATGATACACACCGATGGCCCACACCATTAAAGATTTGATATCTTTCCTTTCGGTACAACGAACTAATTTGATCCTCACGATCGTATCAACGTAGCAAGGCATTGTTAAAAACCAACTTTCTCTTACGTTGCAAAATAAAAACTATACACAAACAAAGAATTAATGACTTAAGTAATAAAAACCATCACAAATCCATAGTGAATCTTATACCCTTTTCTAAAAAAAAAAAAAATTCGCACACAAACGAAAACGTCACGCGCACGTTTAACTTTAAATATAACAGCCCTAGAAAAAATATCTAATAAATATGTCATAACTATTAACACCAGACACCCCCTTAATACCACAATTACGCCTACAAAATTACAACGCCATCCATTGTTATAAAAAACTCTCACATACTCACTAATTCATATTACATAATAAAAACACACAAACCACAAAATAACAAGTATTCTCCGATCAATAAAAATTTCTTTCCCGTGCCTTAGCACGGTTCACAAGCTAGTATTTAAATAAAACCTTAATCTAAGTCAAGGAAATATGATGTAATATGAATAATTAAATTTGGAAAAAAAGATTATAATGCGGAGTCTTAAGTGACACCCCTTGATATCATCATATCACAAAGAATATTTCTTATGTCACTATTTATGTTTGATGATGTTTATCAGCCTCGTTTTTACCCTACCTAAAAATAAAAATATTAAAATTTAATAATAAGGATTTCTTGGATGTGGCGTGTGATTTATAAAGA